GTTTACAGGCATTTGGATATTGGATTTGGTCTCTGTCATATTTGAAGCAGCCATATGACGACTCTCGTCGGGGTCTACTCGGACAAACCTCACATACGGTACTGTATTATGATATGTTTATAACAGAACCAGCATTCTTAAAAGCAACCCGATCGCACTGTACGTTTGTTGTATTTGACGGTTCCGTCTCAACTCAAAGGACGCTGCATGTGCAGCGAGTCCTCGCCAAAAAAATTGCCTTGAGTCGACAACAACAGAATCTTAAACGTATTTTGTTTACTGTATCATAAACTCATGGTTCACGGCACATCTTTTTCGTGATTTGCCATGGAATTTCACAAATCTAGTATTAAACACTGCTCATTGCAAATCCTGGCCGGGCGTCTTGCTCCAAGATCAACCCTTGCCATTAGGCCACAGTATCTCGGTGCGGGCTTTTTCCAACCAGGCGCTGAAAACCAGAGGTTCGCTCGGGCCGTTGTGCAGATGAATCCAAAACGTCGAAATTTACACGAAAGCAGCGCTGGTTTTCGAAATATTGGGTGGGTCGCGGTGAAACTAGTACCATTTGAAAGAGACGTACTCAATTCTCAACTGTCATTTCTTCATGATTGCCTGCTCGCTCGATGGATGAGAAGACCGTAGGGATGTACCGGTATTTCATACAAGTTCAAGTTCACTCTAAGCTGTTTGAGCTTGTTTGAAGAAAAAGCTATTTGAGCTCGTTTGAAATCGGATTTTTCGAGCTTGATTGAAAAGCTTGAAAAAGCTTGAAAATATTTTTGCACATGATCACCCATGCTGAACATCTGTGAACTCCCTGTGAAATTCCTCATAAAGGATAAATCAAGCTTCAAGCTCAAGCTTCAAGCCGAGCTTGATTGAAAAAGTTTGTCCGACAAAGCTTGAAAATGTAAAAAAGTCTCAAGAAAAAATTGAAGAACACGCCATCAAAATGATGAAAATTCAGAGCATAGGTACTGTAGGTATCTTCTTCATTTTTTTTCAAGCTTTCAAGCTTTTTCAACCACCAAAAAAGCTTGAGCTTGATTGAAATAAAATTTTGCATGTTTTTTGAGCTTGAGTCAAACCAAGCTTTTTCAAACAAGCTTTCAAACACATATTTGAAAATTGAAATACGGTACTGTACAACCCTAGATGAGCGAGAGGATGACACGCGCACGCTTCTTGCAAAATCTGATCAAAATACTGTGTTGATTTTTGTTCGGTACTGTGGCAATTTTCTTGAAAACGAAAAGGATAAGTGGATAACACACCGTGCTTTTAACGTGTCAAAAGTACCTGTTGAATGTCCATCGAATGAGACCGGTTTCATCGATGGACGTCTAAATTAATTAGGTATAAAACTCACAGAGAAAATTCACTTTTTCATCAAATTTTTGATCGCGATTTGCTCAACAACGGTCTAGTCGACCCCCAATTTTCATTGCAGTTTTAGTAACAAATAGGGGGGCAAAGCATCTAATGGGATGACTTGCAGCGCGCTACTTTGGGTTTTAACTTTTTGCATCATCGGTCATTTCACCAGCCTGCTGTACGCGTGTACGGTAGCCCAGCCACTCAGCAGATAAAAATGAGTAAAATAAAAACATAAAAAAATAAAAAATTCCATGCAATCCACGCAACTTAATTTGGAAGTGTCAAACCTTAAATTTTTGCAAAAAAAAAGCCCAAGTACAGTAGGTAATTTTCTCAGCCGATCACCGTTCATGCGTCACTCTTTGGGCTTTTTTCTTATTTTGCGGCGACTCACCATTTTGTCAGCCAATAGCAAATCGTCGGAGTTACCTGTTTGGGATGCATTGATCACTCGGAGTTCGATATTTCCCAAATTAGGCATTTCCTGAACACCTGAAGTTAGGATGTGTGACCCCTCCTGGATTTTTTTTGCCAATTTTGAATTTTGGGGTACGATTTACAGTAATTACTGTGCTGTACATACCTACAGTATCCTTTTTTTGAGTCCTGTCGCTCCCATTTCTTCACAGTACAGTATTAGAACAGTATGCCGTCGTTCCCGCCATGTACAGTAGTTAGCCTGGGGCCACCACACGCGGCCTTTTTCTATTTTCTTTTGCTCAAAACACGGTCCTATTATCAACCACGCAGAAAGCACAAATAGTCGCTTTGCACAAAGTCAGCCGCACCAATGCACAGTTACCGATACCGGTAGCTGCGCAATTCAGCGTGTCTGTTCGCACGATCAGGAAGACAAACCGCCATTTCAGAGAAAGAGGCCTCTACGAACGAAAAAAGGGCTCCGGAAGAAAAAAAGCTCTCGGCTAACGACTTACCGGTACTACGTGTTGCTCTTAGACGCTGTACACGCAAAAACAACCTTGCCACTCTTCTGAATCAGTTACGCATCAAGAGTGGGTTGCAAGTGTCATGTCGTACGATCAGACGTCGACTGAATGAGATGGGTCTGAACGCGCGAGTTGCCAGGAAAAACCCATTTACGAGTGCTGTGCTCCTGTGCACCGTGCAAAACGCCTCGCTTTTGCACGCAAACACCTCGGGTGGACTCTGCAACAGTGGAAAAAGGTCCTGTTCACCGATGAAAGTACCGGTACGTTTGAGATTGGCCTCAAGCCCTCAACCCGCGACGCGTGCTCGTGTGGAGAACTCGCCATGAACTCTGATCTCCCAGCCAATTTGGTGCCCACTTTCAAGAGTGGGCGTACCACCACCCGCAAGTCCCTGGCACCACAGCCAAGACCTTCTTTTTTTGCCATTTTTGCCGCTCTCTTTTGTTCGCTTGGTCGTTGACAACATCATCTCTTTAGTTCTTTCGGCCGTTGTCAACACCATCATCTACAGTATCAATATACCTTCCATTGGTTCTCTCCAAGGCACCATCCATTGGTTCGCCCTTCAAGACACCATCCATCATTGGTTCTTCTCTCGCTTTGCTCGTGTTTTTTCACCTTTTTTTCCCTTTTTTATTTCTCGTACGATCCGTTGTCCTTCATCCATCCCTCGCGTATATACTGTACCGTACTGTAAGGACCCACTTTCATTGAATCGAAATAAAGATTATTTCACTTCTTTGGAACCCAATTCAAGACTGCCTTTGCTCCTCGTTTCCATCGATCCGAGGATCGCCTGCAAAATCGGCTGATGTCCATAATTGGTGTCTCCGAAGCTTCTTCAAGAAGGTTGTGCCAGGCGGATCGCGTACGCGTACGCAGGGTCGCTGGCTCGCTGCAATTGCTTCACTTGCACATTTCGTTGCTTTTCTTTTCGTTTTTTTTCAATTTGCCACCAATGCCGCGCCTTACACGCCATTGGCTAGACACTGGTCGGGGTGCAGCACGTGACTTTTGGCTGTACAGATGCCTTACTGTATCTTGACTTGTATTTCTTGCTTACAGTACTTGCTTGTTTCCCTTTCACTTTTTTCCTTGATTCATTCGATTGCTGCTTGCCTTGCCACGCCATGCGCGTCTTGGCCAGACACTGGTACATGTACACACGCTTCTTGCTTGGCAATTATTGAGTACTGTATCATCTTATCGTGTGTCGATTCGTTTCTTTTTTTTTTCAACGCGCCATCGACGCGCCACTACGCGTCAACTCCGAGCGCGTCGGCTCACGCGCTTTTTGCGCACGTTTACCACTCGACGCGAGCTGGGCCGTGACACGTGAATGGCCCAATTTCATCGGCAGGTACGCAGGCTGTAAAAAATTTCTGGAGGCACAACAACAAGCCAGCAAAGTCTGAAAACACACTTTCTCGTTTTCAAATAGCCAATGTGCGAGTTTTTCGTACAGCATGATGCTTCGCATCAGACATTAAAATTACAGTGCGCATCAAGCTCTATTCATTGTCGTGAAAAATGGACGGATCAACCAGCAGCATCATGTGTAAAACGCGAGATAGGAGCAAAAAATGTATTTTGGCGCATTTTCACGGGAGCTGATCGATAAGTTCTCTTTGAAATACAGTAAGGTAGCAGCGCAACACATGAAGCACATTTACAGTGCATGGTTTATCTTTTTTAAATGGTTTAAAACTTTTTAAAGCTATAGAGTTTTTTTTTTTTTTTTTTTTTTGAAAATCCCCACCGTTCTAAACTTGCCACAGCGTTGACACGCTCTCCCTGAGATAAGCCAAGTGATTCCACGAGCATTATCACTGACTCAGAGAATTAAGCAGCAAAACCTGTCGTTCTTTTTTTTTTTTTTTTGTTTTGCAACGCGCAATTTGCAAGACGGATTCTCACACTGCAAATACTGATGAAATTCGCCCCACAACTGATTCCCATCGGGCGCGCTCAATAGGCGCTTCTGACATCCAATGTGCGTCAAGTACAAAAAGCGAAATGCGAATAGAGAGGGTGATTTTATGCGTACAAAAGTGTACCTATCGTGGCATTTTCAGAACATTGTAGATTTTTAGCAGCCTGCTATAGGCAGCAAAGTTTGCAGCGTATGACGTGCAATCCAGTGAGTCTGCTTGTTATACCGCCGTCCTGTGAAAAACGCATGCAAGTCGCGAAAAACGCGAAAACCTGCTTTTTTGCACGTCACCGTTCATTCTAGGCGTTGTTTAGCCTCGAAAAAAGTAGCCTGCGATGCGTTCTTGGTAGGGCGGCGCAGTCAAAATGACTGTTAATGGAAGGCGTCATGAAAATGCAAAATTGTCAAAATAAGTTTTTGCTCCCGTTGCTACAGTGGCATTGATTGTCTTGCTGCTTGCATTTGCTTGTAAATTCTCATTCAAATCACCTTTTGTAATGGTGACAAGATTCAAGACAGTAATTGAATGCATGTGTGCAGCCGCAAACCTTTTTGGCAGCTACCACGCACTCTTTTTTTAATCAAAGCATATCGAGATTGATTCAAGTTGCCATTCGCTCCCCAATGATGGGGAATATCAAAAACTTTCGCTGCAGCAGCGACCCGGCGGTTAAAATATTAGCCGAAAAACCGTATCTCAGATTTAAAATGACTATACTTTTGAATTTTTTGTAAATGGAGGTATGGCGTAATGGCTATCGCATCGGATTGCAGATCCGCAGGTTCTGGGTTCGAATCCCAGTACCTCCTTTACATCTTCTTTTTGTTTTTTGGGGATTGTTAAAGACTTTGTCATTTTTTTTTCTGATGGATCAATAAAAATCCTGTTTTTTTTTTTTTTTTTTTTTTTTCGTTCGCTGCAAGTTTAATATGGCCACAGATTTGTGAACAGATGCAATGCAGCCTGCGTCACTGCTAAATACCATAAAAGCAGATGCGCGGTCGCGCAGCTTGTTCCTCTTTTATTTTCTTTTCGCGCTTTTTCTTTTTCTTTGAAGCAATATGATCGACGTGCATGCGCACCTCACGCCTGGCAACTTTCCTGACATTGATATACTGCTACACGCGGCCAAGAAAGCGGGTGTCGAGCATATCGTAAGCGTGTCCGAGTCGGTGGCGGACGCTGCAAGCGTGCTGGAGGTAGCAAGGCAATCGAGCGGTATGGTGTGGGCGTCTCTAGGCCTGCACCCGGTACAGACGCTTGATGACGGCACGTCGCGCTCGGTGACCATGGACGACTGGCTCGCGTTCAAGCCAATGCTCGTGGAAGCCATTAAAAACAAGGCAATTGTGTGCGTCGGCGAGGGTAAAATCGCGAAACCCGGCCAAATTTCACATTCACGCGCGTCTTGTATTTTTTTTCTAGTGGGGCTGGATTTCTCGCGACAAGTCCTGGAAGCATCAGAAGATCAAGAAAAGGCACGAGATGAGCAAAGAAAAGTGTTTGTCGAGCAAATTAAGCTCGCGATGGACGCGAATCTACCTGTCAATGTGCATTCGAGGTAAAAGATTGGGAATGGAAAGCGCGTTACGAGCCTTTTGCTCATTTAATGCGCGTTTAGATCGGCAGGGCATCACGCACTCAAGGTGTTAAACGATTGTGGGGCGATTTTAGTGAATATGCACGCGTTTGACGGCAAGTAAGAATGCATTAGAGCAAGATGGACATGCGTTTTCCGACGACGGGATTCTTTTTTTTTTTTTATGGTTTAAAACTAGGGCATCTTACGTGAAACAGGGCATTTCTTCGGGTTTCTACTTTTCAATCCCACCATCGATGGTGCGACTCGCGCAGCAGGCAAGCCTGGCCAAGATTGTGCCCATGAGCCACCTGCTGCTCGAGTCAGACGCGCCGGCACTGGCGCCTGTCAAAGGAGCCGTCAATGAGCCCAAAAACCTGGTCATTGCTGCCGAAGGCGTGGCGGCCGCCAAGGATATGGCTGTGGACGACGTCGTAAGAGGGATTTGGCGGGTAAAAGTGGAAATTGACGCGTCCAATTCACATATTTGTTTTAATTCTACGCGCAGAAAACACTCACGGTGGCGAACGCGAAGCGACTCTTTGTTGATCAAAAGGCAGCAAAAGAATAAAATGAGAAAATCATGCGTATTCTGGCTTTCTGGGTTGTTGCGGGGCAATATGAACGCGAGGTGATTGGCGAAGAGTGAATCGCGGCACCGATTTTTGGATTGAAAGTGGGGGATTTTTTTTTTCCTCACCCTTTTCTTCCTCTTTTTTTTTTTTTTTTTAATTCTTTTCCACTTTTTTGCCCATGACGACGTCCAAGTACGAGGAGTGTATCAAGGATCTGAGCTCGAGTGACGATGGCAAGCGACTAAAGGCTCTGCGTCTCATCAAAAACTCGGTCATTGGCAACAAGACCAAGAAGGAGCTGTTTATACAGCTGGGGATTGTTCAATGGTATATCCAAAGAAGCTGACGCGTGTGCGTGGTCGTCTCACGCACCCTTTTATCGTATGACAGGCTCGTCGACTATCTTCACTCACCAGACACGCCCACCAATTACGCGCTAAAAGTGCAGTGCGCCACCATCTTGGGCAGCATCGCCTATGGTAAGGGCTTCACGCTGCCAAACACACACGCGACACGAATTTACCATTTTTTTTTTCATAGGCAAGGACGACAATGTGGCGTGTGTGGTGCAGGCTGGGGCGGTGGAGCCGCTTTTGGACGTGTTTGCATTGCCCCAGCAGCCAGACCTACTTGATGCCATCCGTGCCAAGCGGAAACTTCTCGAGGCTGCGGCCCGTGCGCTAAAGGCCATTTTCTCAAGCGCCGGCGCTTATAAGGAAGACGTCTTTTTGGTATGGAACCAAAAAAAAAAAAAAAAGAGAAAAAGAGAAAAAAGAGAGAAAAAAGCAATGAATCTTACTTCTTTTTGTTTTTACGACTAAAGGAGAAGCACATGAAGAACATTGTGGTATTGTTGGATGCGTCTGCGGCGTATTTGACGCGCGAGTCGCAAGAAACAGTGTCAGCGGATAGCTTGTCGCTCGGGATGATTGCCGAGTTCCTGGCCACGATGATTGCCAGGTGCTGCGACACAGAAGAGCAACAAATTCAGCTCGCCTCTGCTGGTATCATCCAGCCACTGATTAACCTGCTGCACTCGGGCTATATCAAGGTAAAAATCCCATTGCATTCATTTCCATCACCTCATGGCCCTTTCTTTTTTTTTTTTTTTTTTGTCTAGGCACAACAAGCGGCATTGGAGGCATTATCGTCGCTTGGCAGGGAAAATAGCACGCTTGCTGAAACCATCATCCATTCCAAATGTATGTTCATTTTTTTTTATTGTTTTCCGACGCGTTTTGAATCTCATCCTTGTATTTTTTTTTTTTCGCAGCCATCGACTCCAATCAGCTGACGACTGCCACCATGATCGACTTTGTCAAGAGCAAATCAGCGTCTATGCGCTTGGTGGCTGCAACATGGTAAAAAGTGACGAGAAAAACGCGTTACCACAAGGATTTCTCACGCGCTTTTTGATTTTACGTCAGTTTGACGAATTTGTACCGCTCGGGCGTGTTCTCTGAGCCATTTAACGAGATTGTGCTTGTGGTGCTTCCTGCTCTTGTGAAGCTGATGAAGGAGGACACGGGCGAGGTGCAAGAACAAGCGCCATTGGTGCTGGCGGATCTGATCAAGGACAGCGATGAGATGCAAAAAGCTGCCTACGACGCCGACACGATCCCACAGCTGGCGGAACTCTTGATCAAGGTGTCATCCAAGCCTACAGAGAAAGAGGAACCCATGGGCATTCCCGGCGCAGGCAGCCTCGCCAAGCGCAAGGAAGTCATTAGAGAGAATTGCCTCATTGCTTTGGCGGCAGCCACCTTGCTCAAGGAAGATTGCCGATCTCAAGTATAAAAAAGAAAAAGAGAAAAAAAAGAAAAGAAAAGGCAATGCGTGCTTTTGGCTTGTGTATTCACGCAATTTCTCCCTTTTCAAGGCCATTGATCACAAAATCCTGCCACAAGTGGTATCTGCACTACAGAGCGAGTCTGCCAAGGTGCGCCTTGCAGCATGCCAATGCATCAAATCGCTCTCACGAAGCGTGGCCAACTTGCGCACGAGCCTCGTAGATGCCGGAGTCGCGACACCTTTGATCAAACTTCTGTACGACGAGTCCATCCTGGTCCAATCCGTCGCCTGCGCTGCTCTTTGCAACCTGACTCTCGATTTCTCCCCGATGAAAAAGGTAAAAAAAAAAAAAAAAAAAAAAAAAAAAAAAAAAAAAAAAAAAAAAAAAAAAAAAAAAAAAAAAAAAAAAAAAAAAAAAAACGTGGAAAATTGACATTTTTAATTATCCGTTGGGGTAGAATATTATCGACGCTGGCGCCATTAGCCGATTTGTGGAATTTGCACGATCACCGGACGCGCGGCTGCAGCTGAACGGGTTATGGGCGCTCAAGAGTCTGGTCTTCAAGGCAGATTTGGGGTTGAAAAAGGCGGTCATGGACGCAATGACGTTTGACGGCCTGCTGTTGCTGCTGGAGGACAGCAAGCCCGAGATCCAGGAACAATCCCTCGAGACGACGCGCAATTTGGTCTGTGGCCAGACAGAAGACGTCGTTTTTGTCATTGACGGCTTTGGCTGGGAAAATCTGCTAAACGTCTTGGAGACCAGGCTGCAAATCACCTCGGGTATGGGCGTAAATGACGAGGAAGACCCAAAGCCTACTGTAAGTCTTTTTGTTTTCCTGGTTGTGTCCGACTGACACCCTTTTTTATTTCATTGATTAGCTTGTAGAAGCGGCCCTTTACACAGTGGTCAACATGTGTAGTGTGGCTGCTGTCGAGCCCAAGGAGATGGTCATGTCTCGTACCAATATTGTGAACAGCGTCGTGCATCTCTTGGTAAAAAAAAAAAAAAAAAAAAAAAAAAAAAAGAAAAAGCAATGAACAAGAATTTGTGCGCTGAGCCCTTTTTTTTTTTGTGTCCAGTCGCATGAAAGTGACTCGATCCGGCTGGCTGCGGCGTGGTGCGTCATTAATTGGACGTGGGCCGACGCGGATGGTTCTGACGCGAGTAAGCAAAGGGCATTGAGACGCGCTATGTGCGCTGAAATTGATTTTTTCTTTCCTTTTTAGCTGCCGCGTCGCGTGTTCAGCGGCTGCGCGAGCTTGGCGTGGAACAAAAGCTACGAACGATGGAAAAAGACGCCAGCTTGGATGTGCGCCACCGTGTGGGCACAGCCCTGGATCAATTCAAGTCGGTTGTCGACGTGTGATGACCAAAAAGTCGCGTGTTTCCGCATCCCTCATCCCCCCCTTTATATCCATCCATGAATAAAAAAAAAGAATCAAATCGCCAGAATCGAGCTACATTGCTTTATTTTGCACAAAAGAGAGGAGGGGGTATGCTGTGGAGAGTGGATTTTCTAGCCGCAAACGGAGTTGTCCGCCTTTGAGTTCAAAATCAACGACACGATCAGACCGTACAGACCAAGCACTTCGGCGAAAATGAGGATCAGCACCATCGTCACAAAGAGGCGCGTCTCGCGCGCGTAGCCGCGCACACACTAGATTTAAAAAAAAGGGTCAATGCAACCTGACGCGCTAAAAAAAAAAAAGGAAAAAAAAAGTAATCCCCTTACATAGTCGCCCACAATGCCAATAGCATAGCCAGCAGCGAGACCCGACATGCCGACCGACAGACCAGCAGCAAGAGCAATGAAGCCCCTAAAAGAGAGAGACATAAAAAGAAAGAAATTGAGCCAATTGC